ATGCAGAGTAAGCTGGGGGAGGCGGCAGGGGATGGGGGGTGATGCAGTGTGAACTGGGGGAGTTTGAGGGGGGACGGTGATTGGGGGGAGGCTGCTACGACAGCTGAATGAATGACTCTACTTTTCTTTAGGGTGTTGAGCCCTTACTCAGACTGACTCGGACCTCCCTGCTGGTCCCAGTGAGAAGCAAGAAGCGGCACGCTATCCCTCCTTCTGTCAATGCTAAGCACCTGACGGAGGAGGAGCACAAGTTGAAAGCCAGGGCTGCTGGCATTGTGATACCTTATGAGCCCCCAGAACGCCCCATCCATCTTGCTTGCACAGGTAGGCGCAGGAACAAAATGCTGGTGGTGCCTTCCAGCAGTAGGAGCAGGATGTGGGGTAGTGGGAGAGCTAGTGCTTGGTGAAGTGTGGGACCAGTAACTAACACACCTGGGACCTTCATCAGTCTAGTGCACTGGTTCAATAGGGGGCTGTTTGATTACACTCGATCCCTCTTTGTAGGGAGAGTAACCCTCATCCTCAATTTCTGCTTAGTGCTGCCGAATGGTGCCAAACTAATGGATCAAGGGTGACATAGAAGCTTTCACTCCCTCCTCCCCCTGGAAAAAGCCTTGCTCTGAAATGCAGTGACTGCCTCTGAGATTGAGAGGGGAACCCAGGCTCTCTGACCCATTCAAGGGGGCCAGTTATTGCCAGTTAGTGGAGTTTTTTGTATTGAGCAACCTGGATTGAGACCCACCAAATACGTCACACGGGCCCACTCAAGTGCCAATAGCTGGTAATAACTTAAGGTCCAAACCTGTGCTGCTTTGGGGCCTGTGCCTAGCAGTGATTTGTTCCCACTGTCGCTTCTCTTAGCTTTTTATTGCCCTCTGTGCTTCCTTCAGGTTTTGTCTCTTCCTTCAGGTTTTGGGATAAAAGCCTATTTAAGGAATAAACAGGCCATCCAGTTTCTTACTTCTCCCTGATCATCTAGTGTTTCCCCTGTTGGTTCTCTTGAGACTTTCATGGGTTTTTTTAAGAACTTAACCTGTTGCCAGGGTGTTGATCTTTTCCTGATCTCTCTCTCTTTCTAATACAGCTGGAATTTTTGACCCCTATGTGCCTCCGGAGGGTGAGGCCCGCTTGTCCTCCCTGTCAAAGGAGGGGCTGAAGCAAAGAGCAGAGCAGCTGAAGCAGCGCGCGGTTTCACAATTAATGTATGTATTCCAGGGTTCCATTCAGGAGCTGCTTGGGTGTAGCAGCAATTCCACTGCAAATCCTTGCATGCAACTGGCTCTCGACTTTTTGCTGTACTGGCCTATATCAGTGCTGCTAATCGGTGATAACATCAGATAATCTTAGGGGAGGCTGTGATTTACTCATCAGTATTTTCTGCTACCTCCTGACACACCAGACTCCCCCCCCGCCACAAACCTGTTCTAGGCACTGCATAGTGGGGATGCTCAAGTACGTTTTTTTGTAGATGTGTAACCACTGATATTTTCAGCAGTTACGTGTTTACACGCAGGGGGGCAGGTGGGGACCTGATGCTTGTCTTACATGGGTGTAGTGCGTGGTCTAGAATAACCAATAGCCACACAGCTTATCACATTGCAAGAAAAGTCAGGAAATTCACCCTGTGATTAGTGCCGGGCGCTCACTCCCGTGACAGCCTCCTGTTTATATTTCCAGTCAGTGGTTTCACAAAGCTGGCTCCTCACCCAAGCACCAGCTCCTGCCTGCCCCCCCATCCCCAGCTGCTGTGTCTGTGGGAAGCAGTGTGGGGGTAGGCAGCTCTGCAGGAGCTGGTTCTCTATGTGTACCAGCTCTTGCCTGCCCCCCTCGCACACTGCCTCTGTTACACAATTGATACAAAGGTGTGGAGAGGAGGGGCCTGTCACTGTGCAGGTTAACCAATGAGCCCAGGTTTAGCGGTTAACCGTGTACACGTTAACATTCAGACTGTATAGACAGAATAAGAGACTGTCCCTGCCCGGAGGACTTAGGATCTAATTAGAGGATGGGAGCAGAAAAGAAATTTTATCATTCCCCTTTTGGGGAACCAAGGCACAAGGATTAGGTGACTTGCCCATGGTTACACAGAGGGGTCAGTGGCAGAGTTGAAAATTCAACCTCAAACCTCCCCTTCCAGTAGCTTAACCACAAGGCTGTCTTTCCTCTCCACTTCCCTTCCATGTCCATGGCATCAGCTCGCTTGTGAAGCCACTGACTGGAAATATAAACACAAGCCTGTCGTGGGAGTGAGCACTGGGCACTAATCACAGGGGTTTTTTTGCAATGTGATGTGCTGTATGGTTGTTGGTTATTCTAGATCAGTGTTTCTCAACCTTTTTTTTTATAAAGTACCCCTTTAAAAAAATTCTAAGTACCCCCAGTACCTACAGTTTTCAGACACACACAAATTTTTTCTACCATTGCAACACATTTGTTTAAACAACTTAAATGTAGCCGGGCGGGCGATTACATTTTTGGGTAAAAAAATACACAAATAATAACGTGCTGTAAAACTTAAAACAAAAATTCAGTTTTCTCCAAATTTGAGTTGTGTTGACGTACCCCCCAGACTTCTCTCGAGTACCCCAAAGGGTAAGCCCCCCCCCCCGCCACAAACCTGTTCTAGGCACTGCATAGTGGGGATGCTCAAGTACTTTTTTTGTAAATGTGTAACCACTGATATTTTCAGCAGTTACGTGTTTACACGCAGGGGGGCAGGTGGGGACCTGATGCTTGTCTTACATGGGTGTAGTGCGTGGTCTAGAATAACCAATAGCCACACAGCTTATCACATTGCAAGAAAAGTCAGGAAATTCACCCTGTGATTAGTGCCGGGCGCTCACTCCCGTGACAGCCTCGTGTTTATATTTCCAGTCAGTGGTTTCACAAAGCTGGCTCCTCACCCAAGCACCAGCCCCTGCCTGCCCCCCATCCCCAGCTGCTGTCTCTGTGGGAAGCAGTGTGGGGGTAGGCAGCTCTGCAGGAGCTGGTTCTCTATGTGTACCAGCTCTTGCCTGACCCCCTCGCACACTGCCTCTGTTACACAATTGATACAAAGGTGTGGAGAGGAGGGGCCTGTCACTGTGCAGGTTAACCAATGAGCCCAGGTTTAGCGGTTAACCGTGTACACGTTAACATTCAGACTGTATAGACAGAATAAGAGACTGTCCCTGCCCGGAGGACTTAGGATCTAATTAGAGGATGGGAGCAGAAAAGAAATTTTATCATTCCCCTTTTGGGGAACCAAGGCACAAGGATTAGGTGACTTGCCCATGGTTACACAGAGGGGTCAGTGGCAGAGTTGAAAATTCAACCTCAAACCTCCCCTTCCAGTAGCTTAACCACAAGGCTGTCTTTCCTCTCCACTTCCCTTCCATGTCCATGGCATCAGCTCGCTTGTGAAGCCACTGACTGGAAATATAAACACAAGCCTGTCGTGGGAGTGAGCACTGGGCACTAATCACAGGGGTTTTTTTGCAATGTGATGTGCTGTATGGTTGTTGGTTATTCTAGATCAGTGTTTCTCAACCTTTTTTTTTATAAAGTACCCCTTTAAAAAAATTCTAAGTACCCCCAGTACCTACAGTTTTCAGACACACACAAATTTTTTCTACCATTGCAACACATTTGTTTAAACAACTTAAATGTAGCCGGGCGGGCGATGAAATTTTTGGGTGTAAAAAATACAAAAATAATAACGTGCTGTAAAACTTAAAACAAAAATTCAGTTTTCTCCAAATTTGAGTTGTGTTGACGTACCCCCCAGACTTCTCTCGAGTACCCCAAAGGGTACTCGCACCACTGGTTGAGAAACACTGTTCTAGACCACACACTACACCCACTGAATAGCTTTATCGTGGGCACAAGGAGATTGTGTCATGAGAGACTCCATGGAGGATGGGATTAAGGCAAGTGAAGCTGCCTTGATCTTCTGAAGGGTGTTTTCTGAATTGTTCTTCTCTGTAAACTACTGAACACTGAAGGGCATGAGAGCAACATTTCTTATCTTTGCCATTACAGGATTCGGAAGATAAAAAATTATGTTCCTAACTTCAACACTAAAACTTTCCCCGAGAAAGCCCAGGAGATATTCATTGAAGCTCACAATTGCCTGGCAAAGTAAGAGTGGTTCTTTCCTGTGTTGTGGTTTTTCAGGGCTTTCCCTTTGCCCCGCTTAGGTGCCATATTCTTTCTTCCTCTCTCTTTAGTAGACTCTCTCTGTTTCTCAGAAACTTTTTCCTTCTGCTGCCTCCTTGAAAAGGCCGTGGTTGAGATACCACAGGTCAATGCTCCTTTAATTCCGGCTGACGAGGACAGCAAGAAAGAAGAGGCAGCAAATACATTTGGGGGCCTGATTTCCAGATGTGTCGAGCCTCTGCCGCGCTTGCTGGTATCGCTGGAAACGTGAACACTCGGCAGTTCTGGAAATCAGGCACCAAGGGGTTGTTTTGACCCGAAGTGTTGCTCCAATTTTCATCCTTTTCCAGTGATGAGACCAAGCACGTTTCCAAAGTGCATTTGGCTTAGTTACAGTTATACACATGGCTAGTTGAGCCAGATTCGGGTTCCTGGGGGAGTCGTGCTGTTAAATTGTCATTGCTGCCTTTGAGGCCTGATTCCATGTGGGCTCTGTCGTTCATCTGAAATCCCAGCTCAGCCCTTTGCATTTTGCCAGTGGATTTGATACAACATGTGGGGGAAGAAGAGCTTCTTAGGTGGAGTCTTTTCACCACGTGCCGCTGAGTAACGTAGTGTATTTTCACTTTACAGTTTCAACAAGCTGAAACTTCACTCCTTGGTCACGGAACGCAGCTATCCGGTAAATATTTCTCTGGAGTCAGCATGTCCTTTAGAAACCACTCAAGGGCTAGGCAATCAGCTGTCCCCTTTCTTGGCACTCGGAGAAATGAGGCAGAGTACAAGTCCAGCTGGCTCTTTGTAGCATACATTCCATGTTTATCTCGGGGCAGAACAGAAGTGTTTTATAAACACACAAGTTTGGGATCTGACTGGAACCCAAGCGATGCTGCTTTGTGCCACTAGAATTCGATCGGCCTTTTAGCAAACAATGAGCATTATTTTTGTAGGCTCTCCCTCTTGGGCGTGCTCCCCGCCTTGGAGGGAATACCAAACTCCCCTGTTGATCTCTGCAGCCACGGAATCAGGCCTCACAAGAGCCCCTTGGGTTTGGTTGCAGTCTCTAACCAAGATCCCTGTTAGTAGAGTCGAAGGCAGTAAACAAAGCCATGTTAATTTCTCTTGTGTTGGAAACGTCAGAGAGGCGGATGCTAGAAATGCCTGGAAAGGTCGCCCGAGAGCAACCTTGTTTGCGTTTCCCCGAGATACTGTGAAAATGGTGCTAAGGAGACGTGCAAACTAAACCGTGTCTTTGAGTCCCTTTGTATTGAGGAAGGGGCAACACTGGCAGGATTCGTGGAAAGCTGAGAGCCCGTTAGAGTGTTCTGTAGCTGTGCTCAGTGGGCCTGGGGTTAACCCCTCATGTTCTGCACCTCTCACCATTGCTCCACATGGCAACACTCACTCATGCATGCAGAGCGCCTCTCTCCCTGGTGACCAATTACTCATCATGTTGCTAAGCGATCCCGTTTGCTCCCTAGGAAATGGTGCGCGGGAACAGGTACAATACCATCCGCTGGAGCTTTGTGGAGTCGTTGGAGCCTCCCAGGGTGGTTCAGGTTCGGTGCTCGGATATGGTGAACAAGGGCAACCTGTACGGGCAGGTGACGGTCTTTATGCACACCCGGCAGGTACAGTCTCTGTCTGCGTGGTCTCGCGCCGCCAGTCTTGCATGGTGTCACATAACCAGTGTCACGGTTCTCCCTGCAGACCTTGGCGATCTACGACCGGTTTGGGCGCCTGATGTACGGCGGGGAGCAGGTGCCAAAGGATGTCTTGGAGTACATCGTGTTCGAGAGGCACCTGGTGAACCCGTATGGCTCTTGGCGGATACACGGCAAGATAGTGCCAGCCTGGGCACCCCCAAAGGACCCCATTATCAAGGTGACATATCTGAGAACTGGCTGCTTCATAGACTCTGTGATACGTCTGCCAAACGACCCCTATGCCCCAAGTCCAAACGACCCCTATGTCCCAAGTCCTGCACTCTCAAGCTGCTCTTTCAGGATCGTGGCAGCTTCATTGCTCACGGCATTTCTTGCCGCTTCCGGAGGCTCTCCTGTGCCATTCTCTGCAATTTGGATATGGCCAAGTAGCTTCTGCAGCACTTCGGGCAGAGAACAATACATGGGGTTTCGGTGTAGTTGAACTACAACTAGTTGGGATGGGGGACTAGGCGCTTTGGGGGTTAAATGGCATTGGAGACACTGGGAAAGGGATTGGATAAAACACAGGACATCTGGGATTCTAGTCCTGCCTCTGCCACAGACAATGGGGTGTGTCACTTACTTTCCCTGTCTGCGAAATGGGTGTAATGCTGACTGCCCCCAATAAGCAGTTACGGTTTGTGAAGTATTTGAGGGATTCAGCCGGAGAACTCTACAGACACATTATTATTATTGTCCCGAGAGCTGATAAGGGGAGGTTGTCCCCTTTTGGCCATTTATACCCCTGGGCTTGCTGCTGGTACATGTGATCAGGCAGAGAAGTGCATGGGCTATTGTTCCTTGGCCAGTCATCCATACCGCAAACAGGTTCCTGCTAAGGCCTATCGGCGAGACAAGACACGTGGTGCAGATGTTCCCTCCCCTCTTGTCCCATCCATCCCCTTTCCTGCTCGAGGGCTGGGCGCCTTTGTAGCCTGAGAGGGTGTTTCTCTACAGAGCTGCTCTGCAGCCAGCCCAGTGGCAAGCTCATTGGGGTCTTGTTCTTTCAGACGGTGATGCTCCCTGGCCCCACCCTGGACCCCTCGCAAGAATTCGATGAGATCCAGCATGAAATTCCAAAGCCCAATCGGACGCAGTACAAATAACGCCGGGCGGGAGGGGCGGCGACACGGAGAAAGCAACAGACTGGAGATGTGACGGTTCTTTGGTTGTGATCCGCAAGCAGTGTGACAGCAGGTTCTGTTCCAGCTGAGCACAGACACCACTAGAGATGTCTGGGTGGGGAAACTTACCAGCAGAAGACTGCCCGGCACGGTTTGGCTCTTCCCCCACCACACAGCATCCTTCGTGCCGGTCTCCAAACTCCGTCCGGTTTGCTTTGGAGACCAGCCATCCCACATCTTCAGGAGTGCACATTAAGTGACCCTCAGTTCAGGGACCTGCGTCCCTGCTTCCCAGGGCACGGGTGTGTCTATGGGTGGGGAA